TGTTACATTTATATTATAGATTTATAATATTCAAAATATTTATTTATTTATTTTTTAAACATCTTCGCTTCCAACAAGGCTGCAAGCAACAACTAATTAGTGTTGGAAATTACTGGAAGAGAAAAGATGAAGATTGTAGAGCAAGATAATTATTGACAGATGACTTAAAAGATTGCAAATTATATGAATCAGGAAAGCAAGATGAAGGAAGCGAATTCCAAAGAACAAGGTGAATTCCAAAGAACGAAGCGAATTCCAAAGAACGAATTCCAAAGAAAGTTCGAGGAAAAAAACTAGACGAATAAGAGTTTTTGAAGCACTTAGGAACAGTAACAGAAAAAGGATAAGATTTAATTAAATGACGAGTAACACAAAATTGAATTTTAGTAGATGTTACAAGAGACGCTAACTCTTTAAAGCAGTGCCCATAATAGTATTTGTAGAAATGAGAAAGAGAAGCAACATTACGACGATGTGATAATGGTTGAAGGTTGGCTGCAAGAGCAGGTCCAACTATGTTTACAATCAGGGTTGGAAAAAACTCTGGGTTTTTTAAAAAAACCCAACCCAAATGGTCTTTTTTGGGTTTTTTTAAAACTGACCATTATTAGGAAAAATAAAAAAATACTTTTCCTAGATATTTAAAAATCATTTTTGTTTTTATTAAAAATAAAATGTGCTATAAACCAGGATGGAAAGTTCAATTTCTAAATTTATAATTCATTTACCCTAAATGTTCTTACTTTTATTGTCGAAGTACCTTAAGTCTCTAACCACTTTTGGAGCTCTTGGACACTCAAGTCTAGGAAAATGAAGTTATGTTATGACTTTTAAAACTGCAAAGTATTTTGGAATTTCCTGATTTAAACTAGTTAACATTATTTATTTATATTTTAATCATAATAGAATTTATTTAAAAAAAAAAAATTTTTTTTTAATAAGAATATATATTATGGCTCTTGTATCTGGAAGGAAACTTGCAGGTGAATGGAATGATGTGACTAATTTATAAAAAACTGTTTCCAGAAAAGTAATACTGCAGTGCCAGTGCAATTATTGCAATGAAATTATAAATAGCCAAAAAATAGAAAAATTAGAATTCATTTAAATAAATTTAAATAAAAAAAAAATCCCTCTGCTGATGTTGCAAAACGAAATAAGAATTTTATTTTAAAAGATGGCCAAGTATCATTTCAGGCATCTGTAAACTTGTTGTGTGATTTTGTATACCCAGTTGCTTCAGAATCTTTTGAAGCATCAAGCACTTCTGGTGTCTTTGCGAATAGTTACTCTGGTTCAACACCAACCCCATATAAAAAAAACAAAAGTTAATAGAAAACTACATATCAAGAACAAGCTTAGATCAAAAGGATGTTTGACTTGCAAGTTGCCAAAAAATTTTTTGCCTGCAATATTCTATTTAATGCTGTAGAAAATAGAGAATTTAAAAAATGTATTAATTTTTTGAGACCTGGTTATGATCCTCCAAACCAGAAGAAACTTTCAGGAGAGTTACTGGATAAAGTGAACGATAAAGTAATTGTATCTATGAAAAGTTTGGAGTACTATTATATTGATACAAGTTTATCTCATGGGAGTGATGATGATGGGTGGAGTGTCAGAAATGATCCAATTATTGCTCACAGTGTACATAACGGAAAGACCACATATTTAATATCTGCTATAGATGCAGGAAGTGAAAAAAAAACTTCAGAATATTGTGCTGAATTGACCATTGAAGCAATAAAACACATCAAGAAGGTTTATGAACAAGATGTAAGTATAATAATACTGTACCATAGTATTTACTTTAATTTAAGTTAACTAAAAATATTAGAATATTTGTCTACTTCCAACAGGTATTTGCCATTTGTACAGATAATGAGTACAAAATGAAAAAGATGAAATAAATTCTTAAAGAGGAATATCCATTGCTACTTACATATGGATGCTTAGCTCATTACTTAAATTTAGTTAAGAAGCATGTGACACCAAGTTTTCTAGCACATTTAATTGAAGTTAACAAATACTTCCGAAATCATTACCAACCACATGTGAGTAAATATTGTTTATAATATATTATTTTAAATTTACAGTTTTAATTTTTTTACTCATTTACTCAGTGAATTTTATTATTATATTAACTAATTGAACTAGTTCTTAATTTCAGGGATGACTTCTGGATGATAGGAATGTAGTTATGCTGCAACTTCCTAACGATACACGATGGTACTCTCAAGTAGACTGTTTAAAGACTTATATTAAAAATTATAGCCACTATCTTGATATTATAGAGAAGCATGAAGGTGATATTAAACATAATATTAAGAAAATTATAGATAATGCTGCAATTTTCAGGGAAGCTAAAAATCTTCAAATTCAACTGGAGAAATGTGAGATTTTAGATAAGGTAGATATATAAAACAAAGTTGTTAGTCATTAAAATATTGTAAACTACGGCTTCAATAAACTGTTAAAATATTTATATAGGTATTTTAAAAAAAAATTATATTTATAGCTACAAATTGATTCAACATCATTGTCAGATGCATGTGAAATTTGATTGTCTCTCGTGAAAGATGAAGACCTGAAGTCATATTATATCGAAATTAAGTTAGAATTTGATGAAGCAATGGAACCTTTTCATTTTTTGGCAAATTTGACTGATATTAAATACCAAGGTATGGCCACCAAATTTAACCTAAAAATTGAAAGAACAGACTTAAAACTACATTTAATTAACTTACATAACACATTAGTCGATTCTAGATATTCACAATATATGACTAATAAATAATATCCATATAAGATATACATTTCTCATTTATAAAATATAAAACAGAAATATAATATTCTTTAATTTTAGGAAAATCTTTGAGTATTGAAAAAGAAGCTGCTGCAGAAGCTAAGTGATAGGCACAATGAGTACTTGGCTGGTTACTATGATTTCAGGCTAAAAGTCACAACTACCTTTCCACAGCACATGTTTAACAGTAACTTCATTTCTACAATTTCAAGTGAAAGATGGTGGGGTATAATAGATATGAAGCAAAAGCTAAATTAAAAATCTTTACCACTACCAGAAGGGTTTGCAAAGTTTTTTTAATCTCTTCATAGTCGTCCTGCAAGCACTGGCTCCATAGAAAGAGTGTTTTCTACTTTTGGTATTGTGTAGAGCAAGTTAATAAATAGCTTAGGAAACAATAGAGCTAAAAAGCTTGTTTAAATATGCAGACATTTGAGAGTTAAAGAATTTGATTGGTAAATAACAATGGCCAATCTTTTGTAAAGCTTTTGAAATTTAATGAAATATATTTGAAATCTTTATTGATTTTTCTTTTTCTTTAAACTAATTTTCATCAATTTTTTTCTGTATTAACCCAACCAGCTATAAAAATGATTATTCATATTATGAATTATTCTGTAAGGAGTTTAAACTAAAAATAATAATAATAATCATTTATATATGTTATAATAAAGGAATAATAAATCTTATATTATTCACAATATAGGGTTTTAAAAAGCTAAAGACAGATTTATCTGTTGTGAGAAAAGAGATTTAAAAAAAATATATATATATCTTTGGGTTTTTTTTGGTTCCAGGCCTTCTCGTAAGAGGCGTGCGATCGGACGCTTTATATGACCACGTGTATAGTTCTTTGTTTTAACAACTTGACCACAGCTCTTTGCAAGTTTCGATAATTAGCGCGTTCAAAAAATGCGCTAAAAGAAAACAAATGCGATTTTTAATTTAATTGATTCCATACAATTGCCATAAAATTTCCTGAGTACTTTAATGCAACTTAATAAAAGCAATCGTTGAAAAAAATATTCAGATTAGAGTTTAAGGCAAAATGAGTACAGAAGCAAAATGAGTAAATCAAAAAATAATTACAAATCTTTTTATCATAAAACTATAACTTCTAATAAAGAAATTATTTACTAAAAAAAAGAATTACAATAATCTAGAAATAGTCGCATTTGCCAACTATTTTTTATTCCAGGGCGTGACGTACTGTTTTTTTATTAATGAACGTTGACTTGTGTATCTTTATTTATTGACGAACGTCTAATTTAAGAGATTTATTTCAAACAAGTTTCAAATAATTTTTATTCTAGTTAATAAGTTATCAAATATATCAAAGATGCTTGGTAAATTTATTCAATTGTTATTTTTCAAAAAAGACTTTTATTTTACACATTTGCAAAGCGCTTGCACTTGCACTTGCGCTTGCACGCGCCTAATGTGTAAAATAAAAGTTTTTTGAAAAATATATATTTTATATATAATTTTTAAATTATCTAAACAATCATTACTAATTATTTTTTTATATATACTTTTTATTGTTTTATATTGTAAGATATTTTTAGTCATGTAAGCACTTTGTACATTAGTGGATTTATACTTTGTACATTAGTGGATTTATACATTTGTACATTAGTGGATTTATAAAGTCTTGCTATCTCATAAGCTATGATTTTATGATTTGCTAAAGATGACGAGAGCGTGAGTTATGATCCTCTCTCCTTAAGTAGTGAAAACTTTTTTCACCTTCTATTAAATAGTCTTTATATTTACTGCTGATTCTCACCTAAAAAAATCAACTACAATCTGTTTTTATTATTATCTACCAGGTCTATGTATCTGGTTGACTCCATTGGTCACTTTTTGCCATCATTGTGTCACATAAATAATTAAAAATATTGTACTACTATTTATTGTAAACTTAAAATTTTTATTTACTTTAATAAAAGATTAAAAAATGAATTGAAAAAAAAAAAAAGGATTTAATTTAAAACCAGGTTTTTTTTTGTTTTTTTTTTACCTATTTCAATAAATCAAAAAGAAAAGAATTAAAAAAACATCTTAAACTTTAAAAATAGCATAAGGCATAAAACAGGCTAATTTTTTAAATACACAAAATTAAAAAAATTTTTCAATACAAAAAATATTATTCAATAAAGTTAAAACTTCAAAATTTAATTGAAAAAAGACTAACTTTTTGTGGAGATAAAAACTTATCTGAAATTTTAATAGCAATTCCATTTAACATACTGAAGCTACCATGTTCGTTACCTTAAAAATAGTTTCAAAGAAAATTTTTTTAAACAGATAATTTCATACTTGTATACTATAGTACACTATATTATACTATATTATACTGTTGTTGTTATTATTATCATTATTACAAACTATTTTTATTATTGTTATATTATATTTTAATTATAAAAAATTTATTTTTATTTTAACTAATAAGATTTTATTTTATAAAAAAAAAATTAGAAGCCTCCTCAAATATTCCCTGTAGCTTGGGAAGTGAATACAACTAAATAATATATACTTGATATATAAAATGATAACTATTTTATCAATTTAATATTACTCATATTACTTAAATTATATATCATTTAATATTTATAATTATTATGAATTTTATTTGATACAGTTTTTCATATAAACATTTGTAAATATTCAATATATTTTATATTTTAAATTATTTCATAAATAGCACAATATTATAAATATTTAGCCCATTGTAAATTTTTTATTAATTAATTTTTTCTACTAATTGCAATAATGTAAAATAATTTTCTTTATCATTATTTTAAATTTATAACATTTATAGTGCCAACTTGCAAATGAGTGCTTATACATTAACAGTGCCTCACAAAATATTTCTAGGGGCTATTCTAGACTATTTTCGACAACATTTAACATATTTGGCGCCACCCAAATTTAGAAACTTAACTAGTGTTTAAGTTTTTTTCCTAGAATAGCCTCCGATATATACAAATAATTTTATATGTATTCTACAAAATAGAGCGATCAATGTTCTTAAAAGAACAGAAAAATAATAAATTTGTAGAAAATCACTTATCAAACATATTTTATTTTACACTGTGTTTTATCAATTAAAACTCATCAGAAATAGATGTTCAAACTAAAAAAACTTCAATTTATACTAAAAATTAAATTACAGGAAGTCATAAATGTCTTACTTAGTTACTACTAGTTACTGTAAATCAAATTCTTTTTGTAGGCATAATATGCATTTTTTGGAAATAATGCTGTTTAAAAGATAGACCAATTCCCATATCTATTTTGACAGCATGGTGTCTTTTAAATAATTTCTATTTATAAAGGATTGTTTATGGGTAGCAAAACCTTTTTTACAATTTTCTGTTAATTTTTTTATTTGGAAGTTCATTTTTGTTTAGCAAAGCATTAATGTGATCTTTTATAATTCTTTCCATATTTTTTGTGCAACAGTAGCCAACTTTAACTGTATTTCGATTAAAAATTTTATGTAATCTATTAGAGGGCAGGAAGTATTTATTAACCAATTTTAAAAACACTTTTACAATGTTAGTAGCAACATTTTTGTTGTATGGGGGGTTGAACCAAATAACATTTGTAGTTCTATCTGGCTTTTCTGTATTCTTTTTTTCACAGTCAAATTTTAGTTCAAAATTTGGAAACCACTTTTTTTAATGGCATCTTCAAAAATTCACTTGGAGGAATTGAATACATTTTCATCATACGAGTTTTGGTTCATTAATTAAATTGAGACTTGTTTTAGAATTTGGGGTGGATGATTTGAATTAATATTAATATACGATAATTCATCATTTAGTTTTTTTAATGGCTTCTATAAATTTTCAGAGAGGTTAAATGTGACATAAAAAAAATTCAAAATTTTTTTAAATTTAGGCTTATTTAGATGATGAAAGTCAATATTTAAAAAAAATTTCATATCTTTTCTAATTTTATCGAGCTGTGGACCAGATTTTTTATGCATTACTATCAAACCATCATCACTATAAAGGCCTAAAAATCTAAAAACTGCAGCTAAAAACCAACCCAACAAAGTTTATAATGGAAAGTGAATGGAAAACCAGATAGTCATAAATAATCATTAAGTAATAGTAAAAACAAAATGTCCACCGCCCTATCAAACTATGTCTGCAATTTAAAACACAATTTTAACAAAATTCCTTTATTCACATGTTCTATTCTAAAATCTGAACACCACTACTCAACTTTCAAAAGGTACCCACTTTGTCTGTAAGAGAAATTTGTAATTATATCATATCCAAAACCTGAGGAACTGCTAAATAAAGGAATTGAAACTATATCAAAAAAAATTTTTTGCTGAAAAATTACAAAACTCATTACAAACCTAAATATCAACTAACAATAACTATATTACTTTACTTCATATATCTAATATAAGCTAACTAACAAAATACTCAGATGTATAGCTATTGTAACATGTTTCATAATATTATTTATATTTTTATCAATTTTTATTTTAAATTTTTTAATATATAAATAATGCACATTATCACATAATTAAATTAACTATTTCACAACTATTAACTAATTAAAAACAAATAAATAACAACATTAATCTAACTACTAAACAATTATTGTCCTGTAACAATCTAAATTACAAATATAAACCGTAACATCTACTAAAGAAGTTGTTACAGAATTAAATTGCCTGAAGATTGTGGTAACAGATAAAACTCAGAGTAGCAATATTATATTACAAACTTTAGCACTTAGATAATTCCTGGTACTGTATATAACATCAATTAAAACTCATCAGAAATTTCCGATGAGTCTTAATTGACAAAACACGGTCTAAAATGAAAAAAGTTTGATAAGTGATTTTCTACTAATTGATTATTGTTCTGTTCATTTAAGAACGTTAAGCATACAATTTTGTAGAATACATTTAAAATTATTTTTCTGTGTGTATGTATGTGTATGTATATATATATATATATATATATATATATATATATATATATATATATATATATATATATATATATATATATATATATATATATATATATATATATATATATATATATATATATTTATATATAGTAGAAAATAAAACTATGTGATTTTCACAACTTTAAGTTTCATGCTGTTGCAATCATCAGGTGAAATACACATACATACACACAGAAAAATAACTATATATATAAATCTATTTATAAACATATATATATATATATATATATATATATATATATATATATATATATATATATATATATACATATATATATATATATATATATATATATATATATATATATATATATATATATATAACACTGTGTAAAAAAAGTTTATCCACCTTGCACATTTTAAAATACAATAACCTTTTATTCATTTTTTTTTTTTTTCATTTTTTGTTGTAAATTATAGTATAACCCTCTCTCAACTCCTTAACTCCAAAACATGAACCTTAACAAGCAAGGCAGTTGTGCAGAGAAATTAAGTTGAGCGCGGTACTTCCAGGGACATGGTGGGAGTCAAACTCCAAACCTCTCGCATATAAAACAAGCGCTCTTACACTACACCACTATCGCATATGAATTAAATTATATCAATTAAACATTTGAAAAATGTTGTACAAAAAGATTTTTTAAAGTAATGAATAACAAATAATATATAGAATTTTGGAATAAAAGATGAACATTATTATATATATCATAGATAGACTACAAGCTTTTATTACTTCATGTAATCACTTTTTTTCAATCAAAATACAAATTTTGATCCATATTTTCATCAATCAAAAATAATTTTCCTACATCTGAAGCACTTATACACTTAAACTTTAATTCTTCCATCTGATAAAAACAAATTAAATTTTAAGTCATGGCTGAAAAAGACCGAATCACAGAATGTTTGTGATTCATTAATATGAAGCTTTGTAAAGTGTAGTCATTTGGCTTTGTTGATTTTGCTGATGTATGGGTTTTTTAATGGTACTCTCCCATTGTAACCAACACTTCTTAACAATTTTAGTACCCACTTTTAAAATGTAATCATTATGTACCATTTCAGCACATTTTACTTTTTTCGCTAAAAAAGTTTTACAAACCTTTTAAGCGCAAAAATAGGCATTGTTTATTTTTAAATGCTGTATTTAATTTTCTATTCGTTATTTTGTAAAATCTTTTTTTGCAACACTTCTTGAATGGTCAAGCAATATAATTTAGCTGAAATTATGCTTATAGATAAGTTATATAGGTGAAAACTTCTTTGACACAGTGTATATAATTGTTTACTTTTTATATGTTAAAATTTTAAATTATTTTATTTCAAAATGTTTTTTTTTTTTTTGCTTATTAATTAAATTTTGAACTTTAAAAGTTAATATTAAAAAAAAAGGCTTTTATAAATGTCTTTGAAATTTCATTTTGAATAGTTAAATAATATATATCACATGCCAAATATTGATCACATACCAAATGTCACAAAAATCACGTATAACTATTAGCTAAAATGTTAATTATTAAATATCCAACTTAAAAATTAAAAAATTTATAGTAATTTATAATTATAAATACTAAACTTAAATTTTCCAAAGTTTATAATAGTGTAAAATTGTTAAACGTATAAGATATTAAAACTTACCAAGATATGTCATTTTAAAAAACTTATATAATTCTAACAACGTCAATAAAAGGTCATTTTTCTACTCACATATCAAACTAACAACAATAAATTATCTCGAACAAATAATAAAACTAATAATAAATATTTAAAAAAGTACATCCAACTAATAACAATGTTAAATTAATTGTTTAAGTTAAATAAAAATTCTAATAGCTACAAAAATTTTGCTCTGTCAGCATTTTATATCAAAATAAAGCGTTTAACATTTAACAGACCGTTGCATCTATTTAAAGGACCCATTTGCATTTTTAGGGGTTCTTTTGCAAATATAAGAATCTTTTCTTTTTCTTTTTTTTTTTTTTTTTTTAATTTTGGGGCCCTAATGAGAAAACCAATATTAAGTTTTGAGGTGAACTTTTATACTGTAATAATGATAATATGTAATTGTATTTTTAGGGAAATGCAACACATTTCAGATAACGATGTAGTTTTAGATATTTGTATTTCATTAATTTTAGATATTTGTATTTTGACCAATCATTCCCTTCGCAATTATGAGTTTCCCATACACCGTAAAGATGCAACTACAAACATACTTTTAAAACCGAAATCATCTATTTCAGCGAGTATCGCAGTCGATATATCGGTTTTTTAGCTCGAGCATACAAAATTTATTCAGAACATAATATTCAAGATGAAATTTATTTTCTTATTAAGATTTTTACTGAAAACGGGCATTCCTTTAAACAGTATTCAGATATTGCTAAAAATATACCTCCCAAAGTTAAGCCTTGTTCTTAGAAGAGATTGTAATTGCATCTTTACGGTGTATGGAAAACTCATATTTGTGAAGAGAGTGATTGGTTGAAATTCAAATATCTAAAATATTTAATTGGTCTAGAGCATTTTTGTATTTGCATTTATATTGGATAGATTTATTTTGTGAATTTAAAAGTGTTAAAAAAGAATTTGCGTCACCAATATTAGTAAATCGAGCACGGCTATCATTAACGTAACGTTTGTAAGTTTTTGGTGCAATATTTCGTAATGTTGGCGTTCAAACAGTCTTCCATTTTAGTAATTTCTTGATCAATATATGTTCGAAATAATAATTAAAAGAACTAATTAAAACGTAAAAGATCGCAACCAATTTTTCTGCACCTTTTTTTTTGTGGCAAGTATGTGATATTTGTAATATGATTATTTTTTATTATTATATTAATTATAATTTATATTAACATAAATCATTTTAATTAAATATTATATTTGCTAAATATTATCATTTGGTGTTTGCATTTCATTTTGTATATTTTGTGTTTCTCTTTTCGTTTGTAGTGCTAATTATTTTTTATTTTTATTTTCTGTTTTTCTATTTTACCAAATTTTCTACACCTTTTTTTTTAATTTCGCAAACAATAACTAAAGTTTGTCCTTATTTTTTAATTTAATTTAATTTTGTAGAAGTATTTGTGTATGCCTTTTTGTTTTGTAGTTTTTGTGTTTTTTCTTGTAGTTTTTGTGTTTTGTTTTTTCGTTTGTGTTAGGTTTGTTTTTTATTTGTTTGTGGTTGTTATTGAGTGTTTTCGTATTTTTTGCCTTATCTAAGTTATTTTAGCTTTATCTTTGTAATTATTTTGTTTATTTTCTTAGCGATTTTTGGTTCATATTTGTTTTCTTTATTATTATTATTTTATTATTATACTAATTGTTATAATTAATTAGTGTCACTCATTTTGATCATGAGTGACACTCATGTCATCATGTTATTTGTATCTTTATATATAATATTATTATTTTTAATTATTGTTGTTATAATTATTTGGTGTCACTCCTTTGATCAGGCTTCTGCTTCAGTGACACCTTCCTTTTCAAATAATTATTTATATTTATAATTAGTCTTATTAGTTATATCATATAATTATATTGTTTGTGTATTATATAGTTATAATTATACTGTTTGTATCATTATAGATAATATTATTATTATTATGTTTTATGTTTAAATGTAAAGAAAATTTATCTTTTTTGGCGCGGTGTTCGCTCACCCGTAAGTTACTTTATGTTCTTTATGTATGTCTGTGTTCTGTCTGAACCTCTGGCGCGTGTTCGCTCACCCGTAAGTTACTTTATGTTTATGTTTATGTTTATTTTTTTTATGTTTTTTTATGTATGTTTGTGTTCTGTCTGAACCTCTGGCGCGGTGTTGACTCACCCGTAAGTTGATATATGTTTGTTTGTGTTCTGTTTATACTCTAATGCAGCGTGAGCTCAGTAACTAACTACTTACTCCAACTACAAAATCTACACTCACCTTAGACTCCTGTATTTTGTTAGATGCAGTGTTTTCCTAATGCACTTCCAAAATATCATGCCTGGTTTTCTCAAAGTACTGTTGCGGTAAGTAACTCCTTTTAACTACTCCAGGTCAGGTCAGGATAATCGAGACCAATCTTGCTACTGGTATCACGTAACCCAGTACCACGTGCCACAAGCCCTGCTGCCTTGCAGAGTGTGCTCTTCTTAGGCAAAAGCTAGGAGAAATAAACTCCGACTAAAAATTCCCCTGCCTTGGGGCTCTTGGTTGAGTAAAGGCTAGAGATAATGTCTCGATAAAAATACTCATCTTGGGCAGATGTTAACTGCATCCAGCTACTGTCTTGTAGAAGGCCTTTTAGGCAAAGACTTTAGGGGTAAGCAGAAAAATTCTGCTGACCAGCCTCGAACCTTTTCTTCATCTATTAGGCTGGCGTAGATGTAACCTGTGTTACATTGTTTCCTGCCTAGGATGATGAATGCTGGATCTCCTTGACTCTACTCATAGAATTTTGCTTATGCCTCCTTGATAATGGCTATGCAACTCTTCCTGTTACCTCCATATGAGGGTACAGCTCTAAAACTCAGTTTAATGGTTCTGAGGCCGGCTGGCAGTAAGGTTTCCCGAACTCTGTGGTAGCTCTCAGAGAGGCTGATTCCATCAACAGCTGCAAAATATCAGAGTATTAACAGTGCCATGTTGCGCATGGATGGTGTCCCTGTTAATGCTTTTGGTGTGCAAGGAGCCCTATGTCACGGCTTAGGGTTAATTAACAGGACAGAGACAACTGCATAGCTCATTGATTAGGAGGCTGTGCTCTATCTATGAATGAGTCGAGTTCTCATTAAACCCAAATCATGACCAAAGTAACCAAAAATTTAAAACCTAAAAAACCATCCCCACCACCTAAATGTTTTAATATATCTTTTACAAATATTCGCGGTCTACGAAGCAACTTTCCATCAGTTGAGTCTTACCTCCTGCAAAATTCACCAGACTTGCTTGCACTCAGTGAAACAAATTTAAATTCTGCAATTCCTTCTTCACATGTCAGTGTTGATGGGTACTTTCTTTTGATTCGTAAAGACTCCAATAGTCACATGCTAGGTTTAGGGGTATACATACGCATTAATTCCCCTATTTGTCGTGAAATCAGGTTCGAATCCTTTGACCATTCTTTTATGTGCTTTCGCCTAGCACCTCTTCACTCTATCACCTGTCTCTTTGTTCTTTATCGTTCTCCTTCTTCCCATGATTGCACTCTTTTAGATGTTATCTCTGATCAAATTGACCATGCTCTCTCTTTTTACCCCTCTGCCAATATTGTTTTTGTTGGTGATTTTAATGCCCATCACACTGAATGGCTTGGCTCTAACACCACTGATCCTGCTGGCACTAAAAGCCTTTAACTTCTGCGTTTCTCAATCTCTTACTCAGGTAGTTAACTTTGTGACTCGTTTTCCTGACAACCCTAATCATTTACCTTCACTCCTTGACTTATGTCTTGTCTCTAACCCTAGCTTATGTTCAGTTTCTCCCTTTTCTCCCTTAGGTGGTTCTGACCATGCAATGATCTCTATAAATCTTTCTTCTCTTTCTGACCACCTAAGGGAGAAAAGGGAGAAACTGAACATAAGCTTTTCTTTTTTGAACATAAGCTTTTCTTTTTTGGGCTCACCTTATCATCGCACCACCTACTACTACCCTAAAGCTGACTGGGATTCTTTTCGTGATTTTCTTCGTGGTGGTTCTTGGGCTGATGTTTTTTCTCTCTCAGCTGACAAATGCGCCACCTACGTAACCTCCTGGATTCAGGCTGGAATGGAAGCTTTTATTCCTTCGCGTCAGTTTCAAGTCAAGCCTCATTCTACTCCATGGTTTTCTCCTTCTTGTGCGGCTGCTATATCCAATCGTAATCATTTTTTTCATCTTTTTCAAAAGAACAACTCTCTTGAGAACAAACGGCTATTTATTATTGCAAGAAATCGATGTAAAAAGGTGCTTTCTGATGCTAAACTCCATTATTCTCAGTTCACTAAATCTCGCATCTTATCACAGAAGTTAGGCTCTAAAGACTTTAGGAAAATCTTCGACAGCATTATTAACAAGGGTAGATCTAACATTCCATCTCTCATTCATGGGACTGATCTTATTACCTCTCCCAAGGATAAGGCAGAACTATTTGCAAAAAACTTTTCTTCTAATTCCACTCTTGAATCTTATGGACATTCTCTTCCTTCCATTCCAGTCAAACAGGTTGACCCATTGTTAGACTTTCAAATCACTCCGGCTTCTGTTGCTAAAGTCATATCTCAATTAAACTCGTCTACAGCTTGTTGTCCAGACAACATTCCTGTCACAGTCTTGCAGAATTGTTCTCCAGAACTTTCTTCAATTCTCTCTAAACTATTTAACAAGTGTTTGACTGAGTCTTGTTTTCCTGCTTGTTGGAAAATGGCATCTGTGGTTCCAATATTCAAAATCTCTGGAGAAAATTCTGACCCCTCCAATTATCGTCCGATCAGTCTTCTTTCTGTTATTAGCAAGGTCTTTGAGTCTTTGATCAACAAATTCCTTACATCTCATCTTGAGTCAAATAAACTGCTGTCAGACAATCAATACGGTTTTCGATCCTCTCGCTCTACGGCCGACTTGCTAACTGCTGTAACTGAAAGATTTTATTGTGCATTAGATGGAGGCGGTGAGGCTAGGGCTATTGCTCTCGACATATCTAAAGCTTTTGACAAAGTTTGGCATGCTGGTCTTCTCCATAAGCTTGCTTCATATGGTGTTTCTGGGAAAGTTTTTGAGATTATCAAATCATTTCTTTCTAACCGGTTTATTAAAGTCATCCTTGAAGGCCAACACTCTTCTTTATTTCCAGTAACTTCTGGGGTTCCCCAAGGTT